GAAGTTGATAATGCAAAACTCATGAAGTTATCTTCTCGAGTTTGCCCTTTGTTGTAACTCGCACTCTGTTACCACAATTATACTATGTTCTTGTGTTATTTATTCGCTCTTTATTGCTGAATTTCAATGTTGTCTTATTCCATCTAACTTATTAAATTGTTAAGGGTTGAGATTATTACATAAGCTATGGGATTTGTTCTACTAAAGTTGTCTTGTATGGGTTTGTATCTGCTCTGTAGGATAGACGCTCCAGTTTTTCGGTTCAGGTGTTAACAACTGGGATTAACACCCAATGTAACAAATGGGCTGTGCTTTTTGTCGGAAAATTATCCAATATTCTTTCGTGTGATTAAGATAGGAATTAGACAACTAGAATTTCAATCAAAACTATTTTTATTATTATAAAGGATTTAGTACAATAGTTTACAAGTGACACCGAACACTCCTATTTATTCTAGTGGTGGCATACGTGTTAGCTTCTTCTAGATTATTCTGAAAACATTATTTAGTTATACTCTTAGCATATTCTAGAATTATCTCTAAATTTTATCCTAAGATAACTTATCATAATAACTCTAGAGTCTTCTTGTTCTTCACAACTTTACTTAATATTCTCCATAATTTTAGAAGCTTATTCATTCTTCCATGAGTAATTTTGGGCTAATGGAGGAAAATGTCCAACACTTTTTTTGTTCCATTTGCCCTTCCGACTACCTTACAAAAAAGGGAATTCGGCTCCGGTGATCGGCAGATCTGCGTTGCTTCAGATATAGCATGTTCTATCAATTGACTAGATCTTTGTGTCTATTTCGTGCCCCCTTGGTACGAATTTATTCTTGGCTTAAAACCAAAGATCTAATGCTCCCTGCTCAACAACCCACCTCACCGGTTTCCTCCGCCGTCCACCACCATCTCACAACTTCACGTACCACTACTCGTATCTTCTTTGGCTCTTTCTCTCTATCCGTCCACACTCTCTTCTTGGTCGCCATAGCGGAAGATCTATCCTTTGTTAGTTTGCTCCTCTCGTATTTATTGTACGACTTTAATCACTCTTTAATGGGTTGGAAGACTGGCTCGACCATGTGCGCCTTGGAGATGCATCCCATCATGAACAGCTCGTCATTTACGATGTCGACAAATTGTGTTCATCAGCTCGGGACTAGGAGAGATATGGGATGAACCCAATCTTAGAACTGTTTGGGTCTTCTTTGATCCACTAGTTTTGTTTGTCAATTGGCCCATCAGGATTAGATACCCACCAAAAATAGTGGCACAAAAATTGTTGTTATCAGCCTTGTCACCCGAAGATCAAATTCAGTGGCTTTTTATTATTGGGAGAGATTCGATATTTTCTTCCTTCTCGGGAACAGATTTGTTCCACCTTCCTCCCCTTCAGAGGAGAGATCGATTCCTCCTTCGTCCTCTTCAGAGGACAGATCGATTCCACCTTCCTTCCTTCTCGGGAGAGATCACTACCATGTTCCTCCTATAGCGAGAAGAGATCATTACTACTTTCCTCCTTTTACAAAGAGAAAATCGTCTTACCATGTCCACTTTCTTTGAAAGGTAGGTTTTTTTCCGATTTCAGTATCGAAAAATCTCATCAATTTAGAAATTTTTTAGAAATCTATCTGCTTTAACTTTATTGCATTTATGTTTTGTTGTATTCATAAAAGAGGATGGACAATTCCCTTTTGTCTATTGTATTATCCAAGATTAAGGCTCCGAATGGTAACCAACCGCACCGCACTAAACAGTAACAAAA